GTTCCATTTTCAGTTTTTTGAGGACGCTCCATACTGTTCTCCACAGTGGTTGCACCAGTCTGCATTCCCACCAGCAGTGCACGAGGGTTCCTTTTTCTCCGCAACCTCGCCAACACTTGTCTTTTGTTGATTTGTTGATGTTGGCCATTCTAACAGGTGTGAGATGGTATTGCATTGTTGTTTTGATTTGCATCTCTCGGATAATTAGTGACTTTGAGCATGTTTTTATGTGCCTTTTGGCCTTCCTTCTGTCTTCATTTGAAAATATTCTATTTAGGTCCATTGCCCATTTTTTAATTGGGTAATTTATCTTCCTTTTATTTAGTTGTATAAGCTGTCTGTAGATGTTGAAGATTGTATAAACTGTCTGTAGATGTTGGAAATTAAACCTTTATCAGTGATAACATTTGCAAATATGTTTTCCCATACAGTGGGCTTTCTTCTTGTTTTGTTGATGGTTTCTTTTGCTGTAAAAAAGCTTTTTATTTTGATGTAGTCCCATTTGTTTATTTTCTCTTTAGCTTCCATTGCCCTAGGGGCAGTATCAGTGAAGAAGTTCTGATAGCATATGTCAAGCATATGTCAGAGATTTTGCTACCTGTGTATGCCTCTAGTATTTTAATGGTTTCCCGTCTTATGTTTAAGTCCTGTATCCATTTTGAGTTTATTTTTGTGTCTGGTGTAAGTTGGTGAGCTAGTTTCATTTTTTTGCAAGTGACTGTCCAATTTTCCCAACACCATTTATTGAAGAGACTATCTTGACTCCATTGTATGTTCGTACCTCCTTTGTCAAATATTAAGTGAATCTAGAGGTTTGGGTCGATATTTAGATTCTCTATGCTATTCCATTGATCTATATGTCTGTTCTTGTGCCAATACCAGGCTGTTTTGAGAACAGTGGCTTTGTAATACAGCTTGAAATCTGGTATTGAGATCCCTCCTACTTTATTCTTCTGTATTGTCCCAAAGTTCCCTTAGGCTCTCCTCCTGCTTTTTAATTTTTTTTCCTAGAAGCTGCTCTAATTGGGTATTTTTTTCCATCTTGTCTTCTAGCAAACTGATTTGGTCCTCTGCTTCTTCTAGTCTACTTTTCATGCTTTCTATTGAGTTCTTTACAGTAGTGATGTCATTTTTTATTTCTTCTTGGTTCATCTTCATTTCCTATTGGTTCTTACTCATATTTTCAAATTTGTCTTCCATTCTTTTTAGCCATCTTATGATCATTACTCTGAATTCTTGCTTGTGACTTGTTCACTTCCTTTTCTGGGAGCACACCATTTGTAATACAGCTTGAAATCTGGTATTGAGATCCCTCCTACTTTATTCTTCCTTCTCAGGATTGCTGTGGCTATTCGGGGTCTTTTTTAGTTCCAGATGAATTTTTGGAGAGTTCTTTCTAGGTCTGTAAAGTATGCCGTTGGTATTTTAATGGGGATTGCATTGAACTTATAAATTGCTTTGGGAAGTATGGACATTTTGATGATGTTGATTCTACCAATCCATGAACATGGTATGTTCTTCCATCTGTTTACATCTCTTCTATCTCTTTTTTCAGTGTCATGAAGTTTTCCTCATATAGGTCTTTTATGTCCTTACTTAAGTTTATTCCTAGGTATCTTAGTTTTTTAGGTGTGATGGTAAATGGGATTGCTTTTTTAGTATCTCTTTCTGTAAGTTCACTGTTGGTGTATTGAAATGTCATAGATTTCTTGGCGTTAATTTTGTATCCTGCTACATTGCCAAATTCATTTATTAAGACAATTAGTTTTTTTATAGAGTCTTTTGGGTTTTTGATGTATAATATCATGTCATCTGCAAAGAAGGATAATTTTACTTCTTCTTTTCCAATTTGAATGCCTTTTATTTCTTCTTCTTGTCTAATTGCAATGGATAGTACTTCCAGTCCTATGTCAATAAAATAAAATTTTACATTAAAATACCAATGGCATACTTCACAGACCTAGAAAGAACTCTCCAAAAATTCATCTGGAACTAAAAAAGACCCCGAATAGCCACAGCAATCCTCAGAAAGAAGAATAAGTAGGAGGGATCTCAATACCAGATTTCAAGCTGTATTACAAATGGCGTGCTCCCAGAAAAGGAAGTAAACAAGTTAGAAGCAAGCAACCTACCAGAGTGAGAAAAGTGGTGAGAGTGGGCATCCCTGTCTTGTACCTGTTCTTAGAGGAAAGGGTTTTAGTTTTTGCCCATTGAGTATGATTTCCTCTTCTTTTTTAAAAATATACTTTTATTGATTTCAGAGAGAAAGGGAGAGAGAGAGAGTGAGTAAAAGAGAAAAACATCAATGATGAGAATGTATCATTGATAGGCTGCATCTTATACAACCTCCACTAGGGATTGAGCCCACAATCCAGGCATATGCCCGACCGGGAATTGAACAGTGACCTCCTAGTTCAAAGGCTATGCTCAACCACTAAGACACACCAGTTATGGTTACCTTCTCATCTTGCTGGTATTGCTGCCTTTCTGTATGCCTTATTGTGGAAGATTACTCTTTAAAAGTTTGGGGAACTTTCCCTACCTTTGTACTATATCCTACTGTGCTCCATCTGTGATAAGTGCACAGATATTTCAGAATACAATGTAAAACACATTCACAATTTAGCTAGTTCCTAAGGATATGAATGACACAAGGGGCTTCTTTAAGAGATTGGCAAATTTATTCATATAAAATGAGTGGATATATTTTCTTAAATTCATCTTTGGTATTTTTCCAACTATCTATGTTCCTTGAACTTTATCTTGCCTCCTGTATTCTTGTAATCCTCATCTTTCAGAGTTCTTTTTGTGTCTCTTTCACTCTTACTTTCTGCTTTGTCTTTACTTAACCTTTGCTACATGTCTAAAGACATTATATACTAGTATGCAATGACCATAATATACTTATTTAATGAATGGTCAAATTTTCAGGAAAGATGGAAAAATAAGGTCATATTTTTCTCTTTTACTCACTCTCTATCTCCCTTTCTCTCTGAAATCAATAAAAGTATATTTTTTAAAAAGAAGAGGAATATAATGATCCCCAAATCCTCCTCTTAGAAAATTAATGCAAAATATTTCCAAATGTGGGGAAATGGAATAAATGTTGAAATAGGGAATGGTGTGAACAATTAGCCGCAGATTTTGAGGATTTTTATTTATTTATTTAACACATGTTTGAATCTGCAGCAAAGAGCAGGAGTCTTCTGATTAGAATTACTTCATACCAAAGACCGACAGCATTCTGAGAGAAAGACACTCATACAAAATAGAACTTTCATAGATTATACGTCTTTCTCTGTAATCTACAGTTCAGTTTCCTATTAATATGTTGTACCCTGTAAATATACATTGAGTAGGATATTCAGAATTCATAAAAGAATATCTGTAATTTATAGTGATAAAAAGACAATATACATATGTGATGTAATAATATGTATGTGGTACCTAAATCAAAGGTTATCAAAGGGTGTACAGCAAAGTGTCCCTCACATTGCTGCCCTAAACCATCTGTCTCATTTCTCCCTACTTTAACCACAATTAACAGTTTCTTGTGTATATTTCTAGAAGTAATATCCCTATACAAACATATATCCCTATATACCTTCAGTGTTCTGTGCTCTGTATTTTTTTCACTCAACAGTATATCCTGCAGATATTTGCAATGAACAATCACATAAAGTACATCATTATTTCTTTACAGCTGCAGAGTACTGAATTGTGCAAATGTATTTTAATATACTAAATCACCTCTTTACTGATGTACTTTGTATCATGCTTTTAAACTAATTTGAGAGGTAGTCTAATTATATCTGTGATAACTCTTTTCAATAAGGTCACATTCTGAGATACTGGGGTCAGAACTTCAACATATGAGGGGAGATAATTCAGCCCGTGACACATGCATTGCCAAGATTAAAGGGAAATTGGCATGCTCATACACTGATAATGGGAGTGTGAATTGCTTAACCTTTTAGAATGGAAATTTATTCATATGCATTAAATTTTTAAAAATGTGTCTACTTTCTGAAATAGCAATCTTGATATTCTGTCTCTATCCTAGGCAGATAATTACACAGGAATAAAATGCTATATGGAAAAAAGGTGTACACACTGTTGATTATAGCATTAAGTCACATAAAATAATAGTAGATGATTGGCTAAATTGAGTATGATTCATATATATGAGGTTATTAAAAATAAAAATATTACTTTACTGAATTTAACAATGAAATGCTGTACTTCCCAGTGACAGCAATGCTTATCACATTATTGTCAAGAATACTGTGACATTGAAGGAAGGCTTTTTACTTCTCTTTTTTTTAATTTAAAGTAATTAAAATAGATGATAATAATGTATGTCCAGTATAATTATTAAAATACTGCTATTTATAACTAACAAGAAATAACAAGTATTGGTGAGGATGTGGAGAAAAGGAAACCCTTCTTCACTGTTGTTGGGAATATAAATTGGTGCAGCCACTATGTAAAACAATATGGGAGTTGCCCAAAAAATTAAAAGTAGAATGACCACATTATGCAGCAATCCTACTTCTGGATATTTAGCCAAAGAAAACAAAAACACTAACTAGAAAAACATATGCACTCCTAAGTTCACTGAATCGTTATTTACAATACCCAAGATATGGAAGCAAAGTAAGTGTCCATAGGTAGACGAATGGTGAAGAATATGTGGTACATATACACAAAGAAATGTTATTCAGCCATAAAGAGAAGAAAATATTACCATTTTTGATATCATGGATGGACATCGAGGGCATTATACTAAGTAAAATAAATTAAACAGAGAAAGACAAATATTGTATAATCTCACTTATATGTGGAATCTAAAACAAAACAAACAAAACAAAAACAAGCTCACAGATACAAAGATTATTTGTTGCAAGAGATAGGGGTCTGTGTGGGGAGGTAGGGATGGGGGTGATAGTTACTAGTATGTGGTGCAGATTATAAAAATTCTTGTTAAATAAAATAAATACCTGTACTAGAGCGGATTATATCTGTCCCAACAACATGGCCCAGCAGATCATACTGATTCAGGCGAGAGCCGTCCTGTGCTACTTCCACAGATTTGTTCTTCCCAAGAGTCCAAGAATAAACCACTTCAGCTTTTGTATAGGCATCTAAGGCATAAAAGGGTCAAGAAGGAGAAGTTGAAGGGAAAGGAAAATGATTATTTTTTTTTATACTAAACTTGCATGTGTTTAAAATACCACTTATATCCCAAGAGTTCTGGGTAGATGTTCTCTCTTCAACTGAAGTACATGTATCCATCCATCTAAAAACAATCATTGTTTAACCACTACAGTTTATGCTAAGAACATAGAAATGAACCTAAAGCTGTCTCTTCCTTCAATTACTCACAGTCTTCTGCATTGCTAATAAATTGTTAACTTTTTTTTCTTCTCTTGGAGTGTAAAGAGTGGGGATAAGGGGAGGAATAGATAAAATATTATATAATGCAATTGTCATGAATTGAGATGCTTACAGAAGCTAGACACCTTAAATTAGTAAATCAGGCTAGTTGTATGAAAAATTAACTGCCACGAAATGTAACACATTTTCTTTAATTAAGTATAGGGTGACCATATGAGATAAAATTAAAAAAAATTACACTAGGAATATTTTAAATTTTAAAGAAACAAAAATTCTCAAATGACATAGCAATAATTAATTACTATTTTTAAACTTATTATTATTCTGATTTAAAAAACATAAAACTGCTATCTTTTTTTCTGCACATGGTTGTTAATGATAGGTCTTGTATTTACAATTCCAATGGCAAGTAAAGAATTTAGTACAGATTAGTTTTAACAAGGGTGTGGGTAAGGGAAATGAGTTGGGAATGAAGGGCAAGGTTATTTAATTTTAGCCAGTATATTAAAAGAAGAGACTTGTTTTCTTTCTAGACATGGATTAACTCTTTGCATAGTAGATTTTATATTTTTGGTGAACATCTTGCCCTAACTCCAGGACCTGGCTCATAAAGGGAAGTTGACCACCATACTGTTCACCCATTTCATCCAACTTTTGGGTTGGTGTTATGTCCACAATACGCTCTATAATATTTAAATGTTCTACTACAAAACAAATAATTCCTAGTGAGTTTACCAATGAACAAATATAAACTCTGTGTCCATACAAAACCTTGCAACTTGAATATACATTTCATAACAGTCTGATATTAACCTTTAATCACTAATTGTGATCTGCTTATAGTACACTTCTTAGGACTTTATCAGTATACTCAAGTAAATCATTTCCTGATTTTCTTGTAATGGGCAACATGCCAAAAAGTTCTTCATTCACAACAAAATTCTCATTGAAATCATGAAAAATTATACATAACTCTATGGCATTTTTATGTTTGTGCTCTCATAAACTACAAAAGAAAATACCATAAGAAATCTAAATTTTCCACATAGTATGCCCTGTTTGGCCTCAGTAATTTCTTCAAAACACTGACAAAAATACTTCTAATTCAAAACTATGATTAATAGATATTTTTATAAATCTAGAATTTGTAAAATATTTTAATGCCTAGGAAGGTTTGTTACTTAATACTTAATTGCATTTCCCAGTAGCAACACTTAGTGTATACATTCAAACATAAAACTTATTGAACTTTCAAGTTCAATAAACAAATAAGCAATAAACACATTTAAAAAATCTGAAATTTTATGTGACATTCCCTAAATTTCAGATCTTGACAAATAATTTCAAAAGTTATAAACACTGTATATATCAAGTAAATCACATTTGCAAACCACCAATTTACAACCTCCGGTCTAGAGATTTTCTCCTATAGATGGCTATGGTTTTCTGTGATTCATCCTTGGAAACAAAGCATCTGCTGCTGCCTATGGGGTATTGAGGACTCTCAACTGGAATTGTAGATCTTCAAATTAGTGTCAGCAAGAAGAAATGGAAATCTCAGAACTCATCTCACAACCTTACCCCAAATCTATTCTAAGACTATTAAGTGAGGACTATACCAGGAGTATTAGTGAAATGTGATTTCATGTCATCTAATTTTCCTCAGTGCCTTCCATCTTTAGTATATACTAGAGGCACGGTGCACAGAATTCATGCACAGAGGGCTGTCCTTCAGCCCGGCCCACACCCTCTCCAATATGAGACCCCTCAGGGGATGTTAGACTGTGGGATCAGACTTAAACTGGCAGTCAGACATCACTGTTGCAATCTAGGATCAAAGGCTCCTGACCAATCACTTGCCTGCCTGCCTAATGCCCCCAATTGCTCTCCTCTGCTAGCCTGGTCACCCCCAACTGCCCTCCCCTGACAGCCTGGTTGTCCCCAACTGCCCTTCCCTGCAGGCCTTATTGCCCTCAACTGCCCGCCCATGCTGGCCTGATAGCCTCTAACCCCCTGCCAACGTGATCTCACTCCTAACTGTTCTCCACTGCCAGCCTTATTGCCCCTAACTGCCTCTGCCACAGCCCCCATCACCATGGCTTTGTTCAGAAGGAAGTGGGACATCAGGAAGATGGCCTGTCGAACTGATCTAATTAACATATTACCCTTTTATTAATATAGATGTTTTGGGTTCCACTACTCAAGAGAATCATCTATGTATGTCTTCTTATCTTTGCTATGTAGGTGGTTGTAACTCCCTATGTTTAAAGGACAATGCAGTGTTCTGCCTCATATACCCAAGAGTTTGAAAATATAAAAACTAGAACAGGTTTTTTTGAGGGAAAGGGTAGAATATGGAATATATTCTCTACCACTTAGAAAGAAAAGAAATTTCTTGCTAGGTCTCTTAAGCTGAGTACCTTGAGCAGAAACTCCTGAATATTAACTCCAAAATTCAAACATTTTTTTGTATAGATTTGACAATAAATTGAAATCTCAATGGACCCAGAGTGGCCACTTGTTTCATACAAAAAGCAATGGATTAATTTATTTGGAAAAAAATATATGGTTACAGAGTAATTATGGAGAAAAAAATATTCTCTTCTCATACAACGGAGGTCAAAGCAGGAAATGCATAAAATAATAGTAGAAGCAAAAAGAGAGAGAAATAAATTTTAAAAAATTGAAAACTACTTGATTGTCTGTTCATAGTCTGACCCTGTACTGGTAAACAAATGTTAATAAAGCACAATAACTACCAACAGAGTGCTCACAATCTATTGGTGGAGACATAGAGCTTACAATAGTCACAGTATAAGCCTGAACATGAAAACTATGCACACTAGTGGGGGCGGGGGGAAAGTATTAAATGAAACCAGAGGAATGCACTATTGGTTCTCCTCCAAGTGCAATATTAAATAAGCCAGTCAGAGAAAGATAAATATCACATGATCTCACCCATTTATGGAATATAATGAACAACATAGACTGATGAACAAAAACAGATCCAGAGAAAGAGAAGCATTGATCAGACCGTCAAACCTGAGAGGGAAGGTAGGGGAAGGCGGGGGTAAGCAGGAGAGATCAACCAAAGGACTTGTATGCATGCATATAGGCTTAACCAATGGACACAGACACCAGAGGGTTGAGGGCATGTGTGGGGAATTGGGTTCAATTGTGAGGAGAGAAGGACACACATGTTACACCTTAATCAATAAAGAAAAAAAATAAAGAACAATTCATAAAGTAGCCTCTAGTAATATATGGTAGTATAATATATAGTAGTGGGTAAAATTGAGTAGAACAAAGAGGAGATTTCAAAGATAAGGCAGATTATAACTGATGGTTAAGGAAAGGAGGATGTTTAAGGAAATATTCTAGATGCTCCTGAAATTACAGCTTTTGCCAGTAGGCGGATAAGAATAGAATTCATTCACCCACCAGAAAACAGAACTCTTTCCCTTCAGGCTTTCTCTTTCTTCTCTCTTTCCTCCATGCCCCTTTGGATTCCTTTAGCACCTCAGCTTTCCTCTCATAAAATCCTACCTCTCCTTCTCAGTTTTAATCTTTGTATTTTCATGGAGGAGCAAAGGTAGAAGGGGGGGAATGAATACTGCAGAAAGGATATCTACCAAACTATAAAAACTACTGCACTCCCAGAATGGCTCCCTTAATATTGATATACAGTATATTGTATGGACTATGATGACACAAGCATGTCATTGATTTTGTTATTTTGCTAAATGTCTCCTTCTATTACTTGAGCTTGGTATGTATCAGGCTTTAGGAAAATGGGAAGTAAAAAACAATCTTGCCACAATAGCACCAATAAAAAAGCATTTCCTTTGAACTCATATTGTCAGAGTTTGCTCATTTGCTTGCTTAGTTGATTCAGCCAGTTACTCATTCAACAAATATTAAGACATTATTTTACCTCATTAAGGTTCATAAGTCATAAGACATTTGAGGTCACATCCCTTATAGTCTACTGGGGGAAGATAGAAAATAAATAAAGAAAATATCATACAGTAATATGTGCTATCAAAAATATGGTGTTTATGGGTAGGGAGGGATTTCATTAAGCACTGTGATCAGAAAAGACCTCTTTGAGAGAGTAGCTTTTAAGCTGAAACATGAAAAAGGAAAACAACTCAGAGTTTGATGGAGAACATTTCAGGTAAAAACAAAAAAGCAGCAAGTACAAAGGTTTCTAAGTGGGAAAGATCCTGCAGAGTTGTAGGAACGGGCAAAATGTCAATATAAAGGAGAGGGACAGATATGAGGTTGAAGAGATAAATAACAGCCAACACCAAGACAGGGACCACAAAAGAAGATTTTATAGAAAATAATAATTTATTTAATTTAGGCATGTTCAGTATAAATACAATAGCTTTATGAACCTAACAACTACTGCCTAAGGTTGGCATACATATACAACCAAATGGAAACAGACACTGTAGAGGTTTATAACTAATACATTTTAATCCTCAGGATTTTAAATTATCCAAAGTGATATGACAATGGCAGTAGTTACTGGCAAAGCAGAACAAATTTTTGGATTTCAAGCATGTACTATGTTTTTTGTTGGTTTGTTTGTTTGTTTTTGCTTCTATTAAGATGATCATGTGTGATTTGTCCTTTATTGTTAATACTAGAGGCCCAGTACATAAAATTCATGCAGGGAGCTGGGGGGTTGTCCCTCAACCCAGCCTGTACCCTCTCCAATCTGGGACCCCTTGAGGGATGT